CACATACAAAGCAACACCCCACCAGCATCACAGTGAGGTAACAGTGTTCAAAATCAACAAAAGACATTCTTTTTCGATTAACTATGTTACACTTTTCATTCACCAGGCGTACAATAACAAGGATCTATCATCAACTACAGCTATGATGTCAAAAATCTTAGCCCTGTTCTTCAGCACTACTTCAGCAGTACTTTTCAGCAAATGAACAGTGTTTTTCTCTCACAACAAATCTGTATAAACATCGGTATAAGCCAAATTTTAGCGATGACCATAGGTTTATCCCCACACTGAGCGATGGACATCTCATGAAGCGTAGAAGCCAGACGAAGGCGTAACTAACCTTCACCGTGCCTTTGAATCTTCGCCACGAGCAGGGACGGCGCCTATAAGAAGCCTAGGGAAGAACCACCTTGCAGAACTCTCTCTAACATCCGAGAGGATGAGGAGCCCCGCGATGAGCCTTGCCTGCGTCGTCTTCATCAACGTCGGGGAGGAATGCATGCCACAACATCAAGAGATCCTAGGTCGAGATCTATGGGCTCAAAAGGTTTCCCAGCAACAACAAGGTACCCTCCGCCCTCTAGGATTTCCTATAGATATTCTGACCTGGAAGTCTCCCACACGCCGATCATCAACGAGCCTAGCCGTCGTGTCATCGGTGACCCAGGCCACCGAAGATGGTATTGTTCTTTCCCATCTCTTCGCGGAACTGCCTCTAACACCCAAGATGAATGGCCACCAACAGGCCACTGCAAAACCCGATCTTGAAAGCCTTCTCCCAGCAACGGCGGAGCCGCCGAAGTACGCCATGAACCATGGTGGACGAAAGAAGTTGCCACTCTCTCACTCAGTCTAATGCTAAGGGATTTGGAGGGAGGGGAGGGGAGAGGTGAGAGACTCAGTGCACCTAGACCTGGCTTAAATAGGCCAGCCTTGAAGATGCACCCAGACTCAGTGCAGTTAAGATGCGTGATCTAGGGAGCACGCTGAAAGGTTCTAATGGCTAGAGGGGGGTGAATAGCCTATTAAAAATTTCTACAACAACACTTAGCAAATAAGTTAGACAATTAAACGGCGAAGCGAGTGTTGTGCTAGCCTACTAAAAGACCAAGCCACCTACCACAATTCTAGTGACTATGATCATCAAGCACATAATTTGCTAAGTCACTACACTAAGTTAGTGAGCTCTCAAAGGCTAACTAAAGAGCCTCACTAACAACTAGACCTAACACAAGCTAGCTCTCAAAACTAATTACAGTAAAGAGCTTAGCTACACTAAGAAAGTAATACAAGAGAGGGGATGTGATAGTTATACCACCGTGTCAAGGATAGAGCCAATCACAATATGATGGAGCCAATCAATCACAATCAATCAAGAAATCCTCGGACAATGATGACACAAGATTTTTTACCAAGGTTCACTTGCTTGCCAACAAGCTAGTCCTTGTTGTGGTGATTCACTCACTTGGAGGTTCACGCGCTAATTGGCATCACACGCCAATCCCTCAATAGGGTGCCGCACAACCAACATAAGATGAGGATCACACAAGTCACGAGCAATCCACTAGAGTACCTTTTGGCTCTCCACCGGGGCAAGGTCAAAAACCCCTCACAATCACCACGATCGAAGCCGAAGACAATCACCAACCTCCGCTCAACGATCCTTACTATTAACGAATCTTCTGCTTAGCCATACTATATTTACGAGTCTCTATTTCTATCTCTGGAATACTATTATTACCTTACACTTATCATTTATTTATCACTTGACTTACCCCTTCTATGGCATGAGAGTGGTTTTATCATAAGTATACATATTTGTCAATATCTCTATGCCAATACAACCCCATAGCTCCTTCCTGTGGATAAAATATAAATAACAATACTTGATATACTCCCGGGTGAAATGCTACAATGGTAAATTATCTGTGCGCTTGCGGATACCTTATATATAGTTTATAAGTGTTCTCATAATTACCAACAACGCATTTCTGGCATCATGCTAGGGATGACAACTTAGTTAAGAGTGATGCTAAGAAATATCAACAAGCATTTCTGGCGCCGTTGTCGGGGAGGGGCACATGGCTAGAGAATTGACCAAATAAAAACTTATTGATAAAATCATAACCTTTGCTTTAGCAGGTTTACCCTTGTTTGTCTTTGTTCATATCTTATATAGGGTATTTGCAGGATTGGTTGTGATTTACCAATAATTTCCATCACTACTAAATTTTGACCCTATTTCAATGCCCGAAAAGTGTTGTGATAGGCCTGAAATAGTTGCAATATAAGAAATAGCAACACTTTTTTTCGTTGGGAGGCGTTGCATGCGCTTGCATGGGTAAAGCTTTGGACAACGCTTTTCTGCTTAGCGTTGCAAAATGCGTTTTGGATTTGCAACGCCTAGGCGTTGCAATATAAGCTTTTGATACGGTTGTAGGTGTGGCAACAGCAACTAATGCAACGCCTTAGGCATTGCTGGACCTTGCAATGGCAACTTGCCCATGTCGTAGCAAATGGTGCACTAGCAACGACGAACATGTGTTGCAAGACAATGTATTGCCACGAATAACGGGTGTGGCAACAAAGATTATGTCGTAACACCAAGGAGTGGTGGGAACATGTGCAATTGCCACGCCCAAGGTTTGGTTGCTATAAGGTGCAGCCTCTATTGCATCGCATAACGTGTGTGGCAACAAGACATATGTGGCAACACCAAGAAGTGGTAGCAACATGTGCAATTGCCACGTCTAATGTTTGGTTGCTATAAGGTGCAACCTCTATTGCATCACATAATGAGTGTAGCAACAAGACCTATGTGGCAACACCAAGAAGTGGTGGCAACATGTGCAATTGCCACGTTCACATTGTCGTTGCTATAAGGTGTAGCCTCTATTGCTACGCGGATTGTTCGTTGCTATAGGATATATTGCCATAGAAAATGTGGTTGCCAATAGTCACTTTTACAACGCTTTTGGTTTGGTGCCATTGGACAATATTACAGTGCTATTAATTAATTTGAAACTCAATAGACATCAGCAAACCATTTGAATAAAGCCATTAAACCAAATGTATAAACTTGTTTAATTTCTTCACATCTAGAATTAAATGATTTAAATTCAAACTCAGGCTACACACATTATTAAAACAAAAATATCGAACACATTTGTTCCTAAGCCAAAAACATATAAGATGTCTAGACATCGTACATTTGTTCCTAAGCCAAAAACATATAAGATGTCTAGACATCGTACGCTCCACTCAAACTCTACCTTCATCACTTGCGTTTTGCGTAGCCTGAACCTGGATACTCGCTGTTGCCTCAATCAGCGTAGCGCCGTAGCCTACACCTGACACTCTCCGCTGCCTCACTTGCATAGCCTGCACCTAGACGCAAATATCAATAGAGTCAATTAGGCCCCGTTGAGATACGAAAATTTTTAGCTTTTGGCTACTGTAGCACTTTCATTTGTATTTGGTAAAAATTATCCAATTATGGACTATTTAGGATTAAAAGATTCGTCTCGCCAATTACGGACAAACTGTGCAATTAGTTATTCTTTTTACCTATATTTAATATCCCATGCATATGCCACAAGATTTGATGTAACGGAGAATCTTGAAAAAATTTGGATTTTGGGTGGGATCTAAACAGGGTCTTAGCAAAAGATGCAAGGCTACAAATTTTTAGCTACTCAAAGTCAGCATTTGAGTAGCTAAAAGTTTGCAATTAAAGTAAGGAGCTGGCAGTAGTGAACGACATGTTCTAGTCAATACATATTAGAAGCTTGAACTGCTTATCAGTCTTGGTACAATATTTTTCTCTCACAACAAAACAGTATCAACCGGCTTATCAGCCGCAAAAACCATCAGCCGAACAGGACGAATAGCTGAAGCCTATTAAGGATGAAATGGGCATTCAAAGCACCAGGTAGTATTATTATTATTATATATATTGAGGCAAAGCATGTCTGTATGCATGATTCAGAACCTACTGAGCTTAGTGATTGTATGAGTTGCATTATATCGATGAGAGGCCAGTAATTTACAGGTAATAGTAGTATGAGTTGCATTATATCGATGAGAGGCCAGTAATTTTAACTTTGAATCTCAGCCATGTTACTTTATACGGGCAAATTTATAGGTCATAGTAGTATGAGCTGCATTATATTGATGGGAACTGATAATTATAAACCAAGATATTTACATGTTCCCATTCAGTGGAAGTCCAGTATTTGTGTCTTGTGAAGATATGGAGAAATTATTCCTAGACATGAGGGATTAAAATTCTCATCATTAATACAGTAGCTGCAGGCCTCCTCAGCGGGCACTGTAGCAGCAGCAGCAGAAGAAGAAGAAGAAGGCTGCTGCAGCCACTGTTTAGCCACAGCCAAACAGTCCCGTCTTAATAATGTTGCTGCTTGCTAATCAGTTTCCAAATCAACAAAACCTTATCTCCCTGCAGAGATTAACCTTCATGAGTAATCTCTATAGTTACTAGTTGATATCATCCACAATAAATAATGAGTAATCTCTATAGTTACTAGTTGATATCATCCACAATAAATAAATAGCAAAGATATAAACGAGAGATAAAGTACATGCTAGTTTAGATTTCCTCAATAAGAGCTTGTCAATTTCTATTTTTCATGAATCTAGTGCTTAAAGCATTAGAACCATCCAACAGTGTCTCCCATCTTAGTGCAGGTCAGATGAGATATGCCAAAATTTAAGCACATAATAACAAGCAGGTACACCTACCCAGGTTTTGTGCGCATGCATGCATTGCTAGGATCTGGAATTCTCTGGAATAGGTTCCCTTCAAAGCAAGGCTGCAAAATTAATTGACAAAATAAAAGTATATTCAGCATAAAGCATATGTATAACAATTTGACTAATGTTGTCAAAATGATTAGAAACAAAGCCAATAGCTTCAGCTTTATATGGAAAACCGCAGCAAGTGTCTACATCTGACAGGTGCTCACTACCAAGAATCCGAAATGGGGGTATGACTGCAAGCGTGGATGCTGGCAGATTCAGTGTTAGCAAGTAGCACAAGCACCATGTCATGAGTAACTCCAACTCATCAGTGATGGTTTTCATGCTATTCAGTGTCGAAAACACTACTATACCTATGTCATGATGTTGTCAGTACTTTTTTCAGGGCTACAACAGACACAGGAAAGCGCCAGGATGCTTTCTTCAGGACTCGTAATTGTGTTCTTAAGCATACATATGGGATTTCTTCAGGACTCGCAATTGTGTTCTTAAGCATATATATGGGGTTTATTCCATCTTGGAAGCAGGCGCATCATCAGTCAGTATGCCTTTTTTGCTCATTCCAAACTGTGCTTTCCAGATTTATATTGGAGCTTCAAATAGTAGCCTGAAAGCATTAACAGCAGCGCAAAGCAGAAACAATCTTGATTAAAGGTCGTCGAATCATGGTTTCTCCTAGTGTCTCCTAGCATTAGTTACATGGTAGGATCCTAGGTGGCTAGGTGGCAACGTTATGCGACAAACATATCAGGAAGACATTTCAAGTAAACAAAGTCGAGTTATAAGCCTTGATGGTTGAGAAGCATTGGGGACAAAACAACACAATGCCAGTGGCCAGCCTGATGCCAATTTCAAGCGACTCTAAGCTGGGCACAACCAAAATTGATAGATATTGGTAATAAGGTACTGGGGATACATCACTAAACTAGCCAAGAATCATCATTTAACCATTCAGAACTTTAGATGCCTACAACTTATGAGTAGGATTCCCATTATATAGATGGTTCTGATTGGATTACACAGATAAAAAGAAGAAATGTAGAATAGAACTTATTGACAGAACCATGAATCCAGGAACTGTAGGATTTACATACTAGCAAAATCAAACCATTTAAAATTCAGATAGATATCCACTCATGACAACAGTGAAAATGGAAATAGCATCTGACTGTTTTAATGTAGCAGAAAGGAATTCTTACCAAAATAATCGATGCATCTAAGAGGAGCAGATGAACAACTCTACAAACAATTATGCCATATTGGAGATCTTCAAATAATTTCCTTATACTGAAATCATAGTCTGGCAGATCTATTGACCAGAACCCTTTCTACTCAGATCTATGCATAATACTTGAAAACAAACTGAACTTAACTGTATTTAATTAACTGATGCAGCACAATAAAAGAAAAGAGAACAGAGAAATTTCCTTCCCTGCACGGCGGCAACTATGCTCGGATCGAACCCAAGCTGCCTTGCACTCCTGTGGCTCTTCCCCATGCCCAACCCTGACGGCTCCACCTACAGCCTATAGTCTGAATGACTGCCGTGTCCAGATCACCGCAGATACACCACCTGGCTCAGAACAACAGGATCGAGAAACCAGGGGAGCAACGCCACAAGTTCATTGCGGCATCTTGGCCAAGATCCTACAATCTACACACCGAGGGGCATACCTGGTGGCTCCCCTGTTAATGGAGCCCCTCTTGCCAGCTACCGCGGTGGTGGCGGCGGTAGGAGGAGGATTGGCGAAGGCCTCCTTGCTGCTGCCCCAGCTCGTCTCCTTACGGATCTCAGATTCTCAGTCCGGGCCTCTTGGGCTTGTTGCCCTCTTGGAGCCTAGAGACGAGGGGCGGCGGCATGGAGGATAGGGGCGGCCACGTGTCCCCATTGGGGTTAGGGTTGAGGAGACTGGGGAGAGGCCTTGTTTAGTTGGCTAAATTTTAGAAATTGGGCTAGTGTAGTATTTTCGTTTTTATTTGGCAATTAGTGTTTAATCATGGAGTAATTAGGCTCAAAACGTTATCTCGTAATTTCCAACCAAACTGTGCAATTAGTTTTTTTTCGTCTACATTTAATGATCCATGCACATATCGCAAGATTCGATGTAATGGCTACTGTAGCATTTTTTGGGAAAAGTTTTTGAACTAAACAAGGCTAGAGCGAGAGTGTGGAAGACGGATTAGGTAGGTGGAGGAGACAAGGCGTGTATTCAGGGCTGAGATTGCGCGGTGCCAAGAATTTTGCGCCTTTCTTGTATTCAGGGCTGAGATTGCGCGGTGCCAAGAATTTTGCGCCTTTCTTGTATTCAGGGCTGAGATTGTGCGGTGCCAAAATTTTGTGCCTTTTACCTATGTATCATTCAAAAAGTTTGTAATTACATACAAGCCATTAAAATTTTTGACCGCATACAGGTGCCACTGCTCTAAACTTCTTTGTCTTAGCCATTCCGTCCAAATGCAGCGCTAACTGTGGCTAACGGATGGGAAAAATGACAAGCATGCCCTAAGGAAGAAGAGGCTATTTGATGGTGCTTTGGCGCCAATCTGATGGGCCATTAGTGCCAAAAACTCTCCCTGGGTGGCTCCTATAAATAAACAGCACTGAGGTCCCTCCCCCACTCGGTTCTCTCTCCACTCAGTTCCCTCTCCAATGGCTCTCATCTAGGATGGTGGTCAGACTGGTGGAGTAGTGTAAGATATGGTTATGCAACAGCTCAGATGGATTGAGAAGCTGGTCTTTGTTGCCATCTCCCTTGCCTTGTATGCAATTATAAAGAAGTAGGGTCCTATGTATGTGTGTGTCGCTGTATTTTTATGCTTGAATCAATGAATGAATGAGTCAATGATGGATGGATGAATGTAGTCCAGAAATATAAAATTATCAGATTGTTCATTCATCAACATGCAAACCTTAATACATTAGAAACATAAGTAGTGCTCATGGTTCAGATTGTTCACCAACATGCAAACCTAGACTTTGAGGTTTTGGAGGTGGTGGATGTTGAGGACCAAGGTCTATATACAACCCTTCCTCATCAACACCCACATGCTCATTGGATGAGTTTGGGTTAGCCAGTATTCATCATATGCAGATTCACTCTGGGTATGGCTTGGTTGTGCAATGCTAGGACAAGGCAGTGAAGGGGTGAAGGGGTTCTCAACAGACTGCTAAGAACTACTAAAATCCTAAGGAGGAATTTCAGGAGGCTTAGTACTGGGGCTATGGTAACCAAAAGTCAGGAAGCAACACTTGGAAGCATTATGTTTTGCAAACATATCAAGCAAATCTTGGTCGGTACAAACTTAGATGTTCATCTGTCTCTCAATGTAGAAGTAAAACAATCTCACGGCATCCCCATAATCAGAAGGATACTTAGTCTCAACTTCAGCAACCAGATCTACGAAGTTGGTACGATCAGCATCGACGACTTTGTTCAAGCTAAACCACCGAGCATGAGTATGGCGAGCAATTATCCGAATTTCTAGGTTGTAGCTACTAGCAGGGTCCATCCTACAGATGAACAACAGCGAGTTCACATACATCTATCTATCTAAAATCACAATATTTAAACCACGACTACTACACCTAACTGACCACAATCACAAGGACCAAGCAATCGAAGCTAAAAACCCTAAAAATGGTACTCACCCATCAGGAAGCCAAGGAGGTCGGTCGCCACGCCCGCCCCTTGTTCATGACCATCATGCCGTAATCCGGAGGATCCATGGTCTCTTCCTTCAGGCCTCCTCTTCCTTGCTCCACTACCCCATTCCACTCTCCGGGAAGCAGGGGGACTGGGGTTCTCTCTCTCCATGCATGACCACAAGCGGGGCGAATTGTCTTCTTCTCTCCCTGCCGACGCCACAAGGGTGTGGGGGAAGAGGACTCGAACGAGATGAGGAGAGTGAGGGACTGAGGTGATGGTCAATCATAGTCAACATGGTCTCCACCGTCCAAGGGCAACATGGACAATTTCATTCGCCGGTCCCACCTATAAGGGCTACCAAACGGCGAAAAACAAACAGAATAATGACGGAATGGCTTGTAAGGCAAAGAAGTTTAGAGCAGTGTGTGACAAAACCGCCCAAAATAACACGCTTTTGAAGGCGCTCGCCTTCCACTAGACACTAAGCACCCTGAAAGTTAGCTACATCGGACAGTTCTGTCGAGCCCACCCCAAGGGAGAACTCAAAACAATCCATGTTTTACATCCAGAATCCAATAATGAGTACGAGTTTACAATACTTAGTCTATTTTATACAACAAGAATTCTTAGAAATTATTTATTACAATACCAGAGTTCAGTGTGCGATAACATGAAAATAGACATCTAGCGGAAATGATACAAGGATCTGTCTGTGCCCACCAAAATAATCCTCCATATAAGAGCTACTCCTCAAGCTGCACCTACAACAGGGGTAAAATAAACCCTGAGTACACAATATACTTGCAAGACTTATCCGACTAGTGGGAATAGTTTCCCGACTCCAAGGAGTATGATAGGCAATATGGGTTTGCTGTTTCTTTTGTTTATAAAAGGCATTACTAGAAGTATGTCCTTAAGATCAAGTTTAATTAGCAGTCATGTTTACTTTATTAGCTAACCATTCTAGGTAAGCACATGTTCTACTTTCAAGCAAGGGTTGAGCAATCAGAATCATTTTACCATCTTTTATCTTCTAGTTCTTACTACGGTGCTAGACCATAGCCAAGTCGTACCGTCTCACAGAAATGACGATTCATAAACCAATGTATCCCAGCTGGGTACCTCGAAACACACGCCCCATTTGTATCCCAGGCACAAACAAGACCAACCCATTCTACTCCTATCAAGGGGACTAGGTCCCCATCTAAACTCGGACTCTAAGCCCCCACACTTGAGATCCGGTCTCAGTATGGTGCTTAGACCTTCACCTTTCCCCGTCTTCAATCAGTCAGTCCAAAAGGAGCTATAACCCACGATAAGAGTGTAATGAGCCTTTCCGCTCCCATAAGCAAGTATGTGCTTAGAATAATAAGTCTTTGACCTGACTACCATCTACAGCAACGGATGATCCTTAATCGACACGGATAGGAAAAACAGTGTAACCAAGCTAAGCCCCATTGGCCGCGGGACACAACCTGTTACACCCACCAATATCCATACAATATCCCTGCCCTGTCTCTATTTTTTCTTTCATCATTTTATCATGAGAGTAAAAATAATAATTTCTTATTGTGAGTAACGACAGGTTACTCTCGCTACCGAAAACCTAAGCATAGCATTTACTCAAACCTGCACTAGAAAGACTCATAGGACAGATATATCTATGCATGTGGTTTTCATAAAATTCCTGTAACGTAAATGCACATCACACATATATATTCAGTGATTATAAAAAATATGGGTTATGCACCGGGGCTTGCCTTGGGTAGGCGCGGTGTCAGCTGAGCCAGTCAGTGGTGGCTTCGGGACCTCTTTCTGCACTAGAATCTCCTCGTACTCCTCGATGATCTCCTCGAACTCATGATCGCCAGTGGTCACGATCTCTGCCAACTCGTTCTCTACATGCATGAGATGATGATGCAACACTTAGCATTTATACAACAGCAACTCTTAAAATAAGAATACGCATACTAAGCTACTAAGCTAGCTCTAATGACGAAGGTACTAAGCTAACTATCATCGTTACCAAGCAAAGTGTTGGGTTCAACTAACAAACACCTAACTTTACAAATGAAGGATATATCTTTATTTCTACTAATGATTTAATGTATATTTGAAATAAAAAGCATTTAACTATCCTAATGCTTAGTATATTCTAAAGATACAAAAATTACAGTGAGCACATAATAATACAATGAAGCTACTATAAAAATTTCAGGACTAAAGCTATCACCAATTTACCATAAATATTCCTACAATATTTAACCTAATAATATTAAGCACTCTCAAATAATTTAATAGCTCCTGGTATCAACATGTATATATATGAACTAAATACACGAACAGATATAGTACAATTTTAGGAACCTAACAAAAAAATTCATAATTTCTGGACACCTACATGATTTTATATGATTTACCAAAGATCAGCTTAGAAATTAAATTAGAAAACTATTTATAATTCCTTATGAAAAAGAGAAACGAATTCTCCCGCGTGGCCCACACACGTGGCTCACGCGACACAGCGTGCACGCGCGAAACGGCCCGCTATGTGGCCCATGTGAGGCCGGCCTACAGCGCGAGATGACCCGCGGCGGCGGCGGCAGGGGGTCCCGCGCACGCTGGTGATTTTGCAAAAGAGACCTCGCACTTCTCCCGAATTAGAACTAAGCCATAACGCTATTTCCTCCTCTCTCAGAACTTCGCACTTAACCCCCTAGACTTTTCCTAATTCACCTACGCGCACAGCAAGCGACCCAGTGTACGGTGGCGCGGCGAGCTATGGCACTGAGCGCCTACGCTGGCCACCTAGGACCTACACGGGCCCACCTAATGGGTCGATCACCATCTCCAATCTTGGTGCTATGCTAAGCGACGGCGAGGGGTGATGGAACTCGCTGGGGAAGCCTGCAGCGGAGCGCGGTCATCCGCGACGGCGGCGCCACTGTTCCGGTGGGCTAGGGAAGCTATAGGTATAATTGGTTACCACGTGAGCATCAGAAGCCTACCCTGGACCAGGCCAAGGTGACGATTGGGGTAGAGGATGGTGGAGGAGGGCTAGCCACGTGTGGCCAAGCCGTGCGGCGGCGCACCGTGATGGCACGGTCATGCCAGCGATGAAGGGGAAGCGGTAGCGGTTCCACTAACATGCGCAAGGTGGAGAGGGAGATGAGACGAAGCTGGTGGTGCAAGTGAGTTGGCTTAGAAGGGACGGTAGGAGGG